GCCCCCCCCGGCCCCGCTTCCCTGTGGATGCAGGGGCACACGGGGGTACCGCAGGGACACGTGCGCACACGGGGACAGAGCCACGGGTGCACGGGGACACGCGCAGCCCTGCACACATGAGCACCCCCCATCCGCGCACCCCACGGCCGGCCATGGGCACACGCCGACACCCAAGTACCTCAAAATCCAACAGCCCCCCCCACCCGACACCCCTCAACCGTCCCCGTCCCGGCAGGTGCCAGGCAGCCCCACCGGTGCCACCGTCCCGGCCCCACTCTGGCCACGTGTGCCCGGCACATGTGCCGGCGGGGGGATTTGCCAGGAGGATTAGCTGCCACACGGGCCCCAGTGCTGACCTGCTTTTGGCAGGGGCCACACCGGGGACGGGGACTCGGTGCCGTGGCATCCCAGCTCCCACGGCTGCTGGATGCCCGCGTCTGAGTGTGTCCCCGGTGTCCCCCCCCGTGTCCCCAGCCCTGTTGCAACCGCAGGGGTTTAATCGCAGGGTGGGCAGGGCCCCTGCGCCCGCAGCCGGAGCTGGTTTAACTGCACGGCAAAACATCCCCATTGCCGTGGGTTCGGCTGCGCCGTAAACAACAGCCTGGAAGCCCATCCTGCTCCGGGGCCGGGGCAGGAAAGGTGGTCACCGATGTGGGGTCCTGCGCGGCTTGGGTGGAAGAGCCCAAAATGGGAGCTTGGGGGGCTGCTGCCGTGAGCGCTGCCCCACGGAGGGGACACGAACGTGGGACCTGCATCGTGGGACACGCAGGGGATGTGAATGGCCCTGTGGAGCATCCATAAGTTCATGGGGTACGGATGGCTTCATGAGACATCTGCAGCTCCAAGGGACACGTATGGCGCCATGGGACACTTACGGTTCCATGGGACATGCATGGCTCCTTGGGACATCCATAGGTCCGTGGGACATGGATGGCTCTGTGGGACATGCAGAGCTCCATGGGACATGGGTGGTTCCATGGGACATCCATGGTTCCATGGGCCATCCACAGCTCCATGGACCATCCACGGCTCCATGGGACATCCATAGGGCCATGAGACACGGATGCCTCCATGGGATATGTAGAGCTCCATGGGACATGGGTGGCTCCATCGGATATCCATGGCCCCATGGGACATGCACGGCTCCATGGGACGTGCACAGCCCCACGGGGCACACACAGCACTCCTGGGAGGGGACAGTGGGGACGGGGAACCTTCCCCTGCTGGGGACCTCAACCGGAGCAGGTCTGTGGGTGCCAGGGCAGGGGCTGTGGGACCCCTGCAGGGACCCCTTCTCCTGGGCAGGACCCCCTCCCCAGCTGGGGTCCCCCTCTCGGGGAGGTCCCCTCTCCCTGGGGAGCGAGTGCCGCTGTGTGTGAACTGGCGGTGGGAGGGTGAGCCCGGTGTCCCTGGTGCCTCTGCCCTGTCCCCTGCCACTGTCCCCTCTCCCCGGCGCCCTGCCCCTGCCCCTGTCCTCCAGCCCCTGCGCCTGAGCCGTCACCCTGTCCCCGTCTCTGCCCCCTGCCCCTGCCCCACT